CGTCCGCCCCGTGGTGGGGCAGGGCATGGCGCCACTGGCCGCAGGGCGGGTCGCTCCCGGCCGCCCAGCGCCCAGCGCCCGGCCCCTCGCGCCAGGCGGCCAGCCCACGCCAGGCTCGGAGGAGGGAAGAATTGCAGCAGCACGAGTCGGGCTCAGACCTCCCTGAGATTCTATGCCTCCCTCCTCCTCCTCCTCCTCCTCCTCCTCCTCCTCCTTCCTTCTCTCCCCCCCCTTCTCCCCCCTTCTCCTCCTCCCCCCCCTTCTCCTCCTCCTCCTCCTCCTCCTCCTCCTCCTCCTCCTCCTCCTCCTCTGCTTCCTCCGCCTCCTCTTCCTCCTCCTCCTCCTCCTCCTCATCCATTCCTTTTCCTTATAAGTTACTTCTCCCTGTCGCACCCCGAGGTCAGTTGAAAATGGCAGGCCGGGCGTTTCGCCTGAGACTTCCTGACCATTTATGATTTTGAAATTAGTTTCACAGATGTAGGGCGGGTCGTCTTCAAAATGTTGATCTCGCCTGCGCCGCGCACAATCGTTTTAAAACATCGGATGGAGGGTGGGTGGTTTTCAGAATGTGGTTCTCGCCGTAGCGCCGCGCACATTCGCTTTAAAACTGTTGCCAACGCTTCACGGATGGATTTGATTTGCAAATTTGCAAGAGTTTCAAGGAGGGCGGGTGGTTTTCAAAATGTGGTTCTCGCCTTGGCGCCGCGCACGGCCAGAACTTCACGGATTGAAGGCGGTTCTTTTTCAAAATGTCGTTCTCGCCTTCGCGTCACGCACATGCGTATTTCAGTTTTGCAAGAGTCTCACGGATTCCCATGATCAACGTACCGGAAATTGTGTGTTGGAAGGATTCAAGATTATGAGGGTGGAACAGTTACGTTGGTTCGCGGTGTTGATGTCCCAGGAATGGCGTTCTGGCACGATTCAGGATCGTCGAAACGTAGCAGTCAGGTTGACCTGTGGCGTTGGAGTCCCGAGAACAATGATTGGGCATGCTTCAGGGTCTGCAAACGGTTGTCTTGCAACGAGGCAGTTCCTTCAGTGGAAATACATTGTTGCAAGGGCCTATGAAAAGGGAGCTTGGAGGGAGGGATTGTTCCAACATCTTTGATGATTCTTGGGTTTACACTGGTCCTCCTCCTCCTCCTCCTCCTCTTCCTCCTCCTCCTCCTCTGCCTCCTCCTCCTCCTCTGCCCGATGAGTGGCACATCCCGTCGAGCGGCGACGAGGCGTTCGAGAACTTCGGCTCGACGACAGAGCTGATCGACGACCTCATCGGGGACATCCGCTCGGCGCTGTGGGTAGAAGCAAGTAAGCATGACAATGGCGAGGGCCTGGCGGGTGGCGGTGACTTCTTCCATATCATGAGGGAGCTCAAGCGCCACCAGGCCCGTGGCCAGCATGATGAACATGGATTGAATTTGACGGTCGTGGCTGGAGGGCAGTGGACCCGCACTCGCAGGCACCTCTGCGGGTACAAGCTGGAGTCGACCACATGCCCAAGGTGCGAGAAGCATCCAGAGACGCTGTTCCACAGGATTTGGTCCTGCGAGTGCAACGGCAACCACGACGACTACGACAAGACTGCCTCGCTGCTGCCTGCGGCGACAGCGCAGCATGAGAGCCAGCCAACTTTCTGGCTCCGTGGCGTGCCCAGCGTCTGCATGACCACGCCTCGCTTCGACGAGGCGCTGCTGGCCGAGCTCGAGCTCAGGCTGCCAGGCGCCTTTCATGAATGTGAGGAGGGGGGGTGGACGGTGGTGCACGGGGACGGGTCTGGAGGGAAGCACTCTGACGATCCTCGTCGGCGCCGCTGTGGAGCTGCTATCGTGGCCCTTGCGCCTGATGAGCAGGGTCAGTTCCAGGAGCGTGCTGGCATGGCGGTCCCTCTCCTCGGGCTGAAACAGTCTGTCCCGAGGGCCGAGCTGCTTGCGTTTTGCCTCATGCTCGAGAATGTTCCAGGTAATGTTGAATTCGTCACCGACCATAAGAATATAGCCAGGTCTTGGAAGTCTATCCTTGAGAATCCCAGGGCCTCTCGTCTCCAGGAGGACCTCTGGGAGCGGGCTAGGAAGTCTTGGAGATCCAGGCCTGGCCAGCTTGTTGTTCGGTGGACCCCATCCCACACGGATGAGAGAGCGAGTTTTAACTGTGAGCAAGAGATGCTCACCGCCATGGGAAACATGGCTGCGGATATCTGGGCGGGGAGGGCGGCGGAGTTGGCGTGGGAGAGGGGGCTCGTGGGGGACCTTCCTCGGACCGATGCGGTCGACTCTGCTGCTGCTATGATCAGGAGGCGTGCCCGTCGTGCGCTCCAGGATGCTGCTGCCGCCGACAAAACGTCGAAGGCTGAGAGGGATGCGGTGCCCATCAAAGCGGTGCCGAAGTCTAGAGTTGCTCGAGCTCTCGCTGCCTCCGCCCACCGCCTCCACCTGAGGGGTTCCGTGTGGGTCTGTGAGGTGTGCCACCAGGCTGTGCCCCAGTCGAGGTTTCTGGAGTTGAGCTCGAGCCCCTGTTTAACCCCCCCTCCTCCTCCTCCTGTGGCTCCTCCCCCTCCCAGGGATCTGAGGATCACCCAGGGTATCGGTTTGAATTTGCAGGGAGTTGAAGTCCACCCGTCGCACTCGCTCGGCCGAGCGGACCAATTCTTCCTGACCTTTTGTCACACCTGTGGGGCCTACGCTACAGTGGACCCCCGTCATCTCATCTCTGAATGCCGTCCGAGTCGGAAAGGCTTGGAAAACTTGGCCCGTCTGGGGAAGGGGCTCTACCCTCGTCGTGACGGGCCCCCTAAGGCTGTAAAGATGGCGATGCAGGCTCGTGATGAGTTTGACGCCCGACAGGGGCGCCCGAGTGGGAGCGGAGCTGGATCGTCTAGCGATCCTGGCCCCGCTCTCACTCTTTCTCAGGATGCGCCCGCGGGTCCAACCCACTAATCCCCGAAGGCGCCGTCCTCCTTTGTTGCCACTGCCCCAATTGTCTCCCTGTGGGCTGGGGCGTTGTGGCCCGCAACGCTGTTGCTCCGATTGAATCCAGCTTGAATCCTCCTCCTCTGCCTCCTCCTCCTGCTCCCTCCTCCTCCTCCTCCTCCTCCTCCTCCTCCTCCTCCTCCTCCTCCTCCTCCTCCTCCTCTGCCTCCTCATCCTCCCTCCTCCGCCTCCTCCTCCTCCGCCTCCTCCTCCTCCTCCGTCGTGGTTCTTGTTTATGATTCGAGGGGGTCTGGGAACCGCCCTCTCTGCCCTGGCCGGGCTCGCCCCTCACAGTCGCCCGAGCCAGGCCGTGTCCAGGCCGAGGCCTCCTAGATGGTGTCGGAGTAGACGGGGTCGGAGGATCGCGCCGCATCGCCGATGCATCGCCGATGCGGCTCGATGTGGAGCCCGATGTTCTCCACGTCGGCGTCGCCGATGCACCGCCGACGTCGCCGATGCATGCCCAATGCATCGCGATGCATGGCCGATGCATCGCCGATGTATTGGCGATGCGTCGCGATCCTCCGACCCCAACTACTCCGACCCCATCGAGGAGGCCGATGGAGACCCAGACCCCCTCGAGACATGAAGGAATCACGATGAAAGGTTTTTCGCTATGTTCGGCCTCTGTGGGCCCTTGCTATGCCTCGGAACCATAAAAAATCAAGTCGGGATGAAAAACCAATCCCAGGGAACGGGTCGAGACCATCGGGGTCGACATCTGATAAAAGATCATGACGTCGGGGGTCTGGGATCGGGGCGTCGCAATTGTTTCACAACGGGTGATCTTCTTGTTCTGCTCGGGCCCCTTGACAGATCGATCCAGCTCGAAAGCGGCGCAGAAAGATGGGGTGCGGTGTTCCAGCCATCATGCTTCACGATGTTGAAGGTTTTGTCGCCACTTCCGGTTCCCAGGATTCCAAGAGGTTCGGGGATGTCGAGCCCCAGCTTTTTTCCGCGTTGTTTGGTCTCCAGGGGCCATTCTCGGGCCCTGGGGCTGCCAAGAGACGGCTTCAAGCGAAAAGCCGGACCCAGGGAACGTGTCGAGAAGTCTGAGGCCAGGAGATTGAGAATGTGGAGTCGTCGGAGGTCTGGGGGTGTTTCCAGAGGTGGTCTTGGCCCAAGGTGCCCTCAGCTCTCCGACCATTTGAAGGCCCATGGGGCCTTCTGGGCCTGGTGATCCTCCTCCTCCTCCTCCTCCTCCTCCTCCTCCTCTTCCTCCTCTTCCTCCTCCTCCTCCTCCTCGGAAATCCGTGAGAACACCTTGGGCCAGGGACACCTGTGGCGACACCCCGACTGGCGGCACCCGAAGTCAGCTTCGGCAAAGCGGATGTTGTGTTTTTTGGGCTCGGCGTCGGGCCTCCTGCGCCCCCCCTGGCGCGCTCCGCGCGCCTGGGGGGTGGGTCCAGGACCGACCCGCTCGAGCGGTTCCCGGGCGACCCACAGCCTCCCCAGGGCCGTCACAAAAACGGTTCCGAGGCCCCCTTAAGGCGTTCCCGGACACGGCCCACGGGCCGCTCCAGGCGCTCCCAGGGGCACCCAGGGCGGCCCCAGGCGTTCCCGGGCGCTCTCGGGCGCTCCCAGGCGCTCCCACGCGTGGGAGCGTCGGGGATTGCGGGGAGGTGCCTCCAAGGGGGGCCCGGGGGGGCCTCCGCGGGCCCCAGGGGTGCACGAGGGGCGCCCGGGAGTTCACTGCCCCCCCCCCGTCAACGAATAATTATCCGAAACCGTGAGTGGGAGATTGGTTGCAGACTCGATTCACCCTGACTTGAAATTTTGTGGTCCAGCCTGTCCAAGAAACAGCGTCGGGGGCTGATAAGTTAGGAAGAGAAGGAAGAGAGATCCGCGCGGGCCTCCGAAAGTCCACGCTCGTGCCGTTTTCTCTCTCTCTTCTCCCTCTCTCTCTCTCTCTCTCTCTCTCTCTCTCCTCTCTCTCTTTCTCTCTCTCTCTCTCTCTCTCTCTCTCTCTCTCTCCTCCCTCTCGCCGCAGGCCTCCCGCGGGCGGCGAGCGCGGCGGGGCCTCCGCGGTGAGCGCCGCGGCGGCCAGCCCAGACCCCCGACGTCATGATGTCCTCATACCGTCGACCTCCTCCTCCTCCTCCTCCTCCTCCTCCTCCTCCTCCTCCTCCTCCTCCTCCTCCTCCTCCTCCTCCTCCTCCTCCTCCCCCCCGAGGTCTCGACCCAATCCCCGGGACCGGTTGTTCGTCCCGAGGCGCTCTTTGGCTGTCCCGAGGCCCGGCCAGGGCCCCCACATGCCGAAAGTTCGAGCAGGGGATTCACTGCAGCAGTGGTTAACCCCAAGAACGGATTGCCCGTCGAATCGTCACGAACGAGTGCGTAGAGTGCTTCGTAGATCTACGGGGCATACGGTGGGAGCGTTGGTTAAGGAGTATGCCCAGGAGGCTTCAGGCCCAGGGAGATTCGTTGTCTGACGAGGGCGGCGGTGATATCCATGACCAAGCCTCAATTGGAGTTCTACTGGCTTCTAGACCCTGGATTCCTTATCCAATGGTTCCTCATCCAATGCCCTCACCGCATTCTACGTAGTTCTCCGAGGCCCGACGAACAAATCAAGTTTGGGGTGCATTACTTCTGAAGTCGATCAACATATCAAGTTTGGGGTGAATTAGTTGTGTAGTCGACCCCCATTTTCGAAAAGTAGCGAAAAATCTTGCGTCGTGATTGCTCCATGACTCGATGGGGTCTTGTTGCATTCAGTCGGGCGCTTTCTGTTTGCTCTGCTTCACAGTCGGGCGCCCTGTGTGTTTCAGCGCTGCTTTGCAGTCGGGCGGCAGGCCTTTTACTCTGCCTGCGCATCCTGCTGGATGCCCTGCTCAGTGACGACAGTGGTGCCCAAGCGCCGTGCCCAGGGCAGTGCCCAGGGCTGGGCCGTGCTCAGACAGGTCTCATTCCTCCCCCTCCTCCACAATTACTCAATATGAATACTACTCTCCCTCTTCCCCTGATGGCGTGCTGGGAGTAGCCGACCCCCCCCCGCGTCCTGCTTTTTTACACAGGATTCCCGGGAGTTGGGTTTTCGCCTGCATTTTTTTTTTTCAAAATGCTGCTCTCGCTGAGGCGCCGGCCTCATTTTCGGGCCCCGCTCGTTCCGAATCGTGCTCCCGCTGCAGCGCTGGCCTCATTTCCGTGCTTCCGCTCGTTCCGAATCGTGCTCCCGCTGCAGCGTTGGCCTCATTTCCGCGCTTCCGCCCGTTTCGACTCGTCCTCCCGCTGCAGCGCTGGCGTCATTTCCCGTGCCATGCCACAGCACACGCGCACACACGCACACACACACACACACACACTCACCACACCCACCACCACCACCACCACCACCACACCACCACCACCACCACCACCACCACCAGCACCACCACCACCACCACCACCACCACCACCACCACCACCACCACCACCACCACAACCACGCACACACGCACGCACGCACGCACGCGCACCACCACCCACTACGCACGCGCGCGCGGAGCCACAGGTCCGCTACGACACGCGTCCGCGGATAGAGAATCAGCGCCATGGTAAGGAATTGGAGATGTGATAAATGGTCCCCCAAACCCACCCACTCCGCAGAGTCTGGACACGAGTTTTTCCCCAGACTCTCCGAGACGTGCGGGTCTGAACCCGAGCTTCTCCCCAGACTATCCGAGTCCTGCGTGCGTCGCTGCGCCTGCGTTTTCTCACACGTGCCTAATGAATCTGGGCGGGATCTACAAACGAAACAGCGCCAACAAAGCAAACGCGATATCGCACAGCGCGCATGTTCAACGACATGTAAATGAAACAGAAGGCACATCCAAGACATTGTTACACGTTAAAACTTTGAACAAGCCTGCGTTTCGTTGGGGGCATGTTCCTGCGTGCCTGGTAAATCTAATGGGTTCGGCGGACCGCAACTTCGATTAAGGATAGGTTCCTAGGGGTCTTACTGGACTTCCTCGCCTGAAATGCACGTGCGTTTTATGATGATACCTCAAACGAAACGTAATTTCAGCTGTCGTTGACTTGACTCTGTAACCAGATTGGCTCAAACTTGTTCGACATACGTTCGGTTTACCTGTCGGGCCCGTCACATGGAGCAACTCATCGCACAGGCGTTGCGCCTTTCTGGCGCCGTTGGCGTGGAGATCAGAGGTTTCAGGGTACACTTTCTCGGAGTGAGAGAATTTCTTGCGGCCGTGAATTCTGTCATCACTGCATGCAGCAGCGAGATACGGCAGGTGAGTTCTTTACCAGCGGGGTCGGGCAGAGGCCCTTTTCTCATCACGGATCTGGTTGAGTTTCTCCGAGGTCAAGGCCATGTATTGAGGTCAGCGAGCGATCAGGCGTGGCTGCAAATTGACAGAGCAGTTTACGAAAGGTTGAGGCCGCCAGAGGTTTCTCATCATATTGCAGTTGTCCCCGCGCCTGTTCGAACTCGAGCCCCGCAGAACAGACAACTAGTTCTGGCGAGTATTCGGGATATGTCCAGAGAACAGCTCCAGAACGCCATGGTCGATATGTCTAGGAAGCTGGATAGAGCCAAGAAAGAACGAACAGATGCAAAACGGACCGCGCGCCGGCAGGAAGTGGAGATCGCAAGTTTGAATGAACAGTTGGTTGAACTACCAGCGAAGCTACCGTATGATTATTTAAAACATGCACATCGTGAGGACAATTATCGGCACAATCTAACGATAGAGGGCAAGTACATGTTAGGCTTCAAGAGAAATCTCGGGCACGCCAGTGCTACTTCAACCGCGGCCATTCTGGATGTGGCAACAAGTCGATGGTCAAACACGCATTGTGAGAACCTTGCACGGTCAGCCAGGCACACAGCAGCGCGGAACAGATCCCTCTCGCTTCGCGGGCTGCACGACTGGAGCACGTACAAGCAAGTCGGTGCTGGTCCTCGTGGTGTCCTCTTCGTGGCCTGTTGGGTGCTTGGGGCTTCTCTGGCGCGGCTTGGGGGGCCTACTTGGGCGTCTTGGTGCGGGGGCCTGTCTGGGGTGTATTGGAGCCGCCTTGGGCCATCAGTGGGCGTTTGCGCCATCGATCTCACGTGCCTAAGGCCTCGCAGCGGATTCGAAGAGATGTATTCAGGCATAGTTGACTACTTGCAGATGGTTTGTGGCAAGCAGGCTGCACCATCTGTTTCCTTCACATGCCACGTCGTGCGAGGGGATGCAACCAATTCGAACGTGTACAGGGCATCAAAAGTATTCGCATCAGATACTTGGAACGTCGGCTGTATCCCCTTGGGCCAGTCTCCAATCGAATACTCGTTAGTGGCATGCCCAGACGTCTACGCAGTCAGTGAGAGTTGCACGGCACTCCAGACAGAACATGAGTGGGATCAAAGGTTGCAGAGATGCGGGCTTTGGACATGGAGAACTTTGGAAGATGCTCTCAGGGTTGCGTTTGAGGCTGGCGGACCTGAAGATAATCAAGATGAGCGCGCGCAGTCAGTCACGTCGAAACAGTTCGTTGAAGCTGTCTTGCAGTCCTTCCTTCAAGGACATCGCCACATAGTAATATTCAATGGAGGCAGCGACGCTGGGCCAGACACGCAAGGGACCAAAGTAATCGTCAAAGAAGTCCTCGGTGATATGCCGTGGGCCTGGGATATCTGGCAGTATTGTCGCATTCACCATCTGCACCTGATAGCAAAAAGATCTCCCCGGTTCCAGGAGACGCTCTACTCGAAACTTGCGGTCGTTGCAAATTGCTGGCGCTCGCCGCACAAGGCAGCAGCTTTGCGGAAAGAGTGGGCATTGTTATTCGGGGAGGAGCGAGCAGTCGAAGCCGCTGGCAGGATACCGCCGAGACCTTCGCGTGGGCGATCTGGCCAAATATATTCTACAATTAAGCATTTTTGGGGAGCGGGCTACGCGGAGTTGAACTCTGTGTGGAGAAATGTGTTCGCGAAGCCACCTGCGTCCTCAAGCGAATTCGTCGACGATCTTTCCGGTGAAGAATTTCAAGCAAAAATGGGAAGATGGGCGAAGGAATCTCTTGCATCGATACAATCATACGAGTGGTGGGTTGATATGTCGATACTGTGCCATTCAGGTGACCCGCTGGCTCACATGTTGCACTGGTTCCAGAAGAGATCAGCACGACACCAGGGGGGCAAACATCGCGTGTTCGACCTGGGATACACATCCACGCTACAAGAACTGGTATATTTCAAGGCAGGGCTGGACCGAAACGATGTTTTGGCGATTTCGTGGGCTTCGTGGGTCGTTTTCGTTTCGACTTCGTTTTGCGGTAAAGGCGGATTGATGACAAAACGAAGCGAAATCGAAAAACACCGTTTAGGTTCAGCTTTGTTTCAAGGTGTCAGAGATATTTCGAAATTACGACGACATGGTCGAAGACAGCACATACAACTCCGACGCTTTGTGGGGGAACGTCTTCGAGTTCGCTCGATGCGGCAACATGGCCATAGAAATGGTGAGGGCACGGTGCGTCGAGAGCATTCTGTTACAGGCAGCAGATTTCCAAATGAGGTTCATGCCCATCTCCGATGAATTCCCCATGGAGATTGCTTGGATGGCGTTCAATGATGCAGACACGCGCTGCGACCGGAAGAAAGCACTGGCCACTGAGATGCTTGATTACCTGGAGAAGGACGAGGACGATCGAAATATCAAGCTTCAGCTTCCCTGGAAAATCGCTAAATGCTTCGAGGACGAACTCAAAGTTACTAAGCAAGATGGTACTCTCCACCCTGAGCTGTTCAAGCTGCTGACTGTTATTGTGCACATGATCCCAGTTGACACGCAGGCAGTGGAAGGCATGAACTCCATGATCAAATTTATCATCAAGCTGGCTCCCGCCATCGGCCTGGAATTATTTTCAACCAGACTGCACCTCAAGAAGGAGCTCGCCGTCTTGAAGACAACGCGTCGACAGTCAATCCCTCCTGGAGCATTGAAGAATCTGGTGGACGAGTCCGCGAAGAATCACGAGGACAACATGAAGGCCCTGCAGGACAAACCTAGATTCGCAGATGATGTTCAAGGATACCAGTT